GTGTACAGTCAGGGGTCATAATCCATAAAGTTACGGTCCCATAGGGAGGCAGACCACCATTAAATTTCACCATCTCGGTACCCACAAATTGTAGTTCGTCTATTTATAGCAATTCTATTTCTGTCTCTTTTCCCCCCTTTTGCCTGTCGATTTTTGTTGATTTTTTGGTCTAGAATGGATCAAGAGGGTTTGAATTAACATTTTCTGCCAGGTTTTGGTAAATATTTATGATTTTGAGGCGGAAGGATAATGGGGTTATCAGGTTGGCTACGGTAACATGTATGCTTCTTCAAGTTTGTGTATCTTAAAATTTTGGTGATTAACCTCATACAAATTTTAGTGCAAAGACATGACCATTTGTCTGTAGTGAAAAGCATTCAGCTCAACGAAAATTTGGAGAAAAGTGGGAGGTGGGCAAAGAGGCCAGAATTAACATTGAAGTCAATAGGGACATTAATGGTGGTCTGCCTCCATAGAAGCCAATATCGAAAGGAACCGAGATCTTTGGGATATATACCTATATTTCAAGTTATGACCTGTAGAGTGTCCACAAAGCAGGTGTGATAATGTGGGCGTATAAAAACGTATCATCGATCTAGTGTCGAACGTACTATTAAACGGACAACTTGTGACATATAATGGACGGATTTAAGTGGAATTCTTTATGTAGACAAGGCCAGAATTAACATTGAAGTCAATAGGGAAATTAATGGTGGTCTGCCTCCATAGAAGCCAATATCGAAAGGAACCGAGATCTTTGGGATATATACCTATATTTCAAGTTATGACCTGTAGAGTGTCCACAAAGAAGGTGTGATAATGTGGGCGTATAAAAACGTATCATCGATCTAGTGTCGAACGTACGTGTACTATTAAACGGACAAGTGACATATAATGGACGGATTTAAGTGGAATTCTTTATGTAGACATAAATCAAATGTCGCGTGACATTTCGGTAACTATGAGGTTTTAAAGTAATTTCATGTTCCGTAATTTAATTTGTTCAGAGAATAAATTATCCTGAAATACATGTTCATTTTTCAGATACGTGTCTATTATTGGTATTTTCTTAAACAATCGTCTATTATTTATAAAACTGTCCATTATTTATAAAACTGTCCATTATTTATTGAAAATAATGAACAGTTTTATAAATAATAGACGATTGTTTAAGAAAAGCGTACATTGTTCTATATACTGGTTAAAAACATCAAAGGGTTACGCCATATCTATGTTTTAAAGTCTGAATAAGTTAATTAATGTCTAATTAATACGTTACATAACATTTCAGGCCTAAAGAAAGACCTGCAATAGGTAGATTTCGCTATTCTATAATGTATGTTTAAGGCAACATTAGATGAAACTTAAAATATGTATTAAAGGAGCTAAATCCCTATTCTTTGGCACATAACTGATTAGAAATTATGGTACGGTAATTACTTTAATTTCAAATAAGTTATGTTCGGCGAAATACGGGAAGAGTCCCATTGATAGCCTTTGGCGTCTTGTTATTCCAGTCTACACCGTTCAGCCCCGTTCACCGAGTGGCTTCATAACAAATCGCGTTCGAAAGCATTCTGATACGCGATTCTTGTGCATATTTTAAAATTTTCATTATGTCTTAAATATTGGACATATGAAGCCCATCTTTTCAAGGCAAGATAACAAAACCATTGTTGATTTAAATTGACTAATAAGTCGTGTTTGCAATATCAAAAACTGTGGATGATACTGAGTTAAAGACTTGCCTGAAATGTTATCTATAAATTATTAATTGGACATTAATTAACTTATCCAGATCATAATCAACTCTTGGTGTCATCGTTAGCCTGTGATATTTACTGGATTTGAATACATTTCGTGATGGATAATTTAACCTAAAAGTGGAAAATCGAGACTTTGTTTGATATCATACCAACGTCAGTAATGACGACCGAGACTATAGTCTAAGATTCAATGGCCAATATCTCGGTTCAGAGTGAAGCAATTTGACTGAAATTTTCAGCATATTTTGTTTTCATTATCTATTGTTTAATTATTAAAGCGAGAGCTGTCAGCTCTTTATCTAATCTTACCTAATGTCCCTATAAGTATCAAAAGTTCTTGGATGAGTTCAATATTGGTGCACATCCGACCTCTCGTTTTGGAGTTATGCACCCTGCCGTTTGCAGAAAATGTGAAATATGTGCAAAGTTTATGTACCCTCCGCAGGCAAAAATTTCTCATGTTGCGAAAAAGACAAGGGGCATAACTCCAGAACGGAAGTTCCGATGCACAACAAAATCAAAATCATCTACTAAAATCTTTTGATACATAACACATATTTTCAGTTTCGTATCGGACAAAAACTTTCACTTATGGAGGGTTCACAAACAAGGTAAATATTTCACATTCAGTTGTAGCGTCAAAGAGGTCTACTACATTCATTTAATCATTGATGGTCTGCATTAAGTAAAGATAGCCCAATATATCTATATCAACGTCATTCGTCAGAGCATAGATAATACGGTTAGATCTATTTCATAAGGCCACCTGCAAATTTGGTTAAAAAAGGTAACGAGATGTATACAGACCTAACGTTAACCCTAACCCAACCCTAACATACAATCTCGTCAACAATCACGTGGCCTAACCCTATTTACATCTCGCAACCTTGACGAAATCTGCAGGTGGCCTTAGCATTTAGACCTGGCCCTGTTTAAAGGGGTGATATATCTTTTAACGCGAGGAATTGGGTTTATGCTGCCTGGTAAGGTAAAATAAAAACGTATCAAACGAACATGTACACGATCGTACTATGGACCAGGCACCGAACATGGCCACCGGCTCGCCACCATCTTGTGAGTTGACACGTCACAATTGTCCAAGTTTCATGTCATGTTGAAGAACAGGAAGATGACTGGCGCTTGGGGAACAAACTAGATACAGATGTTTTCATTCGAAACTACACATGGAACATAGTCAAACCAAATACCGAGTGAAACCGGGACATAAATTATGTATTTAAGTCTGTTATAGTAATTGCTTCTCATGCAGTGCCTATTCTCCGCCTTTGCCATGGCAATTTCTGTTAGTTTTTTTTTAACTAAAATCAACGAGGGTATTCGAATTTCCATTTTCTGCAAGGTTTAGTTGACTATTCATGATTTAGAGGCGGAAGGATCAAGAAGTAAACAGTCGTGAATTAGGGTGCTCGCTTACTAAAATGACGTCACTTCCTATAGGTTCCTTTGACCAGGCTTAGTGAACACTCGAAATGGTCAACCATGTTGGCTTTTTGTGGTTATAATGATTAAGGTCACCGGAATGTTAAAAAAATGTCATGGATTGAACATTGATGTCAATGGGGAGATAATTACTAGCCTGAACCCTGATGGCTCAGACTAGCAATTATTTGCCCATTGACTTCAATGTTAAATGGCAGTAACATCACAAGCTGTAGCTTTTTGCTCATCATTCCGTTGGTTCCAATCTTTATAGGCACAATGGGGACAACATTGGGCAATCCCCTCATCATAATTTTGTAGGGGGAAGACCATTTAGATTTTTTGCTACGCGGATTTGAAGTTGACTGGGGTGAAAATCTCACTTCCGACACAATGATTGCTCTGCAGAAGGACACTTTACACCCCCTATCCCTTCGCTGTAATATCCTCAGTATTACCCAAAACTGCTATGAAATTGCAAATTTGATCCCTTTTCTCCAATTCTAGACCAAAAAGTCAACCCAAAAATGCAGGAAGAGGGAAGAAAAAAATTAAGGGAAAAATTGTCTATTTATAACTCGCACTTCATGGGATATGATGGTTGTATCCCTTGTCACAGTACACCATTAAAGGACAATATTGGTGCCAGTCATTATTACATATGTGATATGTGATACTTATAAAAACATGGTAATGCACGGACTTTTTCTATTTTTCTTTCATGTTCTCTTATCTAGTGACAGTCAATTTTGTTTATGGATTGTCAGATATCCTTTCACAGTCCCATACAACAACTTTTGGTCTTCGAAGGAATTATTAGTGAGCAGAAATTCGCCCATGTATCTGTTAGTTATCACCCGTCACTTCAGCCAGTTTTATAGAGTGATAACTCGTGTTTTCTTTTTGCGTACGTCACTTCCTATTGTTGAAACATTGATTACTCATCTATCGTAGCAATGATCTCTGTGAAAAAATAATATTTGGAACGTGTTTAACCAGTTCTATCACATATGTGATAATGACTGGCACCCATATTGTCCTTTAATTTCCTCATTGACTCTTCTAATGTTAATTCTCGCCTTTTTGAGCGGCCCTAACTTTTCCCTACAAATGGAGTAACATGTTGGGACCTCTTATAAGCATGTATGAGGTTCACCATGGAAATCATGAGATAAAAATACTGGAATTAGCATACTAGTGAACATGCAATGATCCGCCCTACTTTTCATCGTGACCAACCTCAAATTGGCAGACAATGTATATATATTCAATTCCCTTTCTTCGATTCTACACCAAAACGCCAACACAAATCACCATGCAAAAGGAAGAGAGGGGGCGAAAGACTATAAATAACTGTGCAGGACCGGAATTGGATGAAGAGAGGCCCTGGGCTATTCCACTTATAAGCCCAATCATCTCCCCCCACCAATCCTGCATCCTTGGCTGGCCCCCCTCTCTCCCCTCCTAGATATTGTGTGTCGCGTCTCCATCCATCTTTATCGTTAAAAAGAATTAAATTACGACCATCTAACTATGACTATTAATTATGTAATGGGACGAAATGGGGTTTAACGTCCTACTGTTCTACAGCTAGACAATGTCCGTGCCAGGACCCTCCGTCCGTTAATTGCCTGCAGGTACTATTCATCACTCGAGCCCGGGACATTCTGGTCAGTAGGTCAGATCTCTACCGTTCCCTTATGATACAGCGCGCACGTGCGAACCATTCGCCCCACCCCCATATATATTTTAAGAATATTTGTTTCAGTATCTCGACAAAGCATACAACTTAAACAAATACAGCATGATTTTTATTTACTACACCAGAAACAATTGACCTTTTTAAGGAGGGTTTTGCTTTGGTTTTGAGATAAGAGTTTTCTAATATTCATCCCCTTCTTCGTCGCCTTCGCCGTCACCACCATCCACGCCAACTTCCTCATAATCTTTCTCAAGGGCAGCTAAATCTTCTCTAGCTTCAGAGAATTCACCTTCTTCCATACCTTCACCAACATACCAGTGGACAAAGGCCCTCTTAGCATACATTAGATCAAATTTATGATCCAGACGTGCCCAGGCTTCAGCAATCGCCGTGGTGTTGCTTAACATACAAACCGCTCTCTGAACCTTGGCTAAATCACCTCCTGGTACAACAGTTGGTGGTTGGTAGTTGATACCCACTTTAAAACCTGTTGGACACCAGTCCACAAACTGGATGGTTCTCTTGGTTTTAATGGTAGCAATGGCCGCATTAACATCTTTAGGTACAACGTCCCCACGGTACAACATACAACAAGCCATGTACTTTCCATGACGAGGATCGCATTTTACCATCTGATTGGCAGGTTCAAAACAGGAATTAGTAATATCCGAAACTGATAACTGCTCATGATAAGCCTTTTCAGCAGATATTACTGGTGCGTAGGTAGCAAGGGGGAAATGGATCCGAGGATATGGTACTAAATTGGTCTGGAATTCAGTTAAGTCAACGTTCAGCGCGCCATCAAATCTGAGAGAAGCAGTAATAGAGCTGACAATCTGGCCAATCAAACGATTGAGATTTGTGTAGGTGGGTCGCTCAATATCCAAATTACGACGACAGATGTCATAAATAGCTTCGTTGTCCACCATAAAAGCGACTTCTGAATGTTCCAGGGTCGTATGGGTGGTGAGAATAGCGTTATAGGGTTCAACCACGGCAGTGGATATCTGAGGAGCTGGGTAAATGGCGAATTCGAGTTTTGATTTCTTGCCATAATCCACACTTAGTCTCTCCAAAAGTAGGGACGTAAAACCCGAACCGGTTCCGCCACCGAAGCTATGGAAGACAAGGAAACCCTGAAGGCCCGTGCACTGGTCAGCTAATTTTCTGATTCTGTCAAGAACCAGATCAATTATTTCTTTGCCGATAGTATAATGGCCTCGAGCGTAGTTATTGGCGGCATCTTCCTTACCAGTGATGAGTTGCTCTGGGTGGAACAGTTGACGGTATGTACCAGTTCGTACTTCATCTGAAATAACATAGAACAGTTTCTGTTAAATAGTGTTATTTTATGAATGAACGGATCAAATGAAAATATAGTACTATAATTATAATGGGTATTTCTTAAGGCAAAAGAGAGAGAGAGCGAGAGAGAGAGAGAGAGAGAGAGAGAGAGAGAGAGATGGGGCTTAACGTCCACTCAACACAAACTAGGTCATATCGTTCAATGGTTCAATGATTCGCTTGCGCATAGGGGTTTTTAGCAATGGGAGGAAACCTTGTCACGTAGAAGCGAGGAATCGAAACCATACAACGTAACTCAATGACAGACCTTATGACCTTACTCGCACGACTTAGACCATTCGGCCCCTCGGCCCCAGAAATTTCTCAGCCAACAGCGGCATCGAACCCAAGGATCCCTGGTTAGTGCGCCAGCGCTTAACGTACTGACGAATGGCAATGTAATGGAGGATAATTTTACCCGGACAGGGGCATTTGTGTCTAGTCTTTACCGAATTCTAACTGTGGAGGCTTCATTTATGTGCACCTCACATGTTTATGGGTGGACTCCCAGGCCACCAGTCCATACCTGTCTTGCCATTCCTACGGAACACAGATTGAAAATCACATGATTATTTGCGGCCTACGACGGAATTCGAGTCTGGGATATTCTGTTTCAGAGTTTCCGCTAGGCTACATCAGTTGTAATTTACAAATGTATAATTTAATTACCAACAACACTTGGTTCCAGGTCTACAAAGATAGCTCTTGGTACATGTTTACCAGCCCCTGTTTCACTGAAGAAAGTATTGAAGGAATCGTCACCACCTCCAATAGTTTTATCTGATGGCATCTGACCATCAGGCTGGATACCATGTTCTAAACAGTATAACTCCCAACATGCATTGCCCATCTGACATCCGGCCTGACCAACATGGATAGAAATACACTCACGCTGAAACAGAGACACACATTTTATAGATCCATTCTTTTAGCACAGGCGTGGAGTAATGATACTTGTTAGTCTTTGTTTAACGTAAACGTCCATAATAAGTTGTATCAAGGGAAGATATAGAAACTCTGGATGGGGGGGGGGGGGTGCCCGGCGGCCAGGTCGCACACTGTGAGCATCAATGGATTGAAGCGCATAACAACGGGTCTGGGAGGCCTCTCCATGAAATTTTCGAAAACTAGGAACCAGGAAATGCCAGTGCCAGTAATCTGAGACAAGAATCCGGATGGGGGCGGGGGGGGGGGGTGTGCGTCGGGTGTCCCCCCCCCCCACAACTGGACCCACCTTTGTGTATTACAGACAATACAACTGATGCCCATTCTTTAATGGACCGGAGGCTGAGCGCGGGGGATGTCCATCAAATGGGCACAAAACCAGACCCAACTTTTCTAGAGTAAAATTGTGCGTAGAATACGATGCCGAGTGGTAATCAGTCCGCCGTTGGGGCGTTTTTGAGATATTCGGGGTCAAAGGTCAAATGAGTTTATTTGCACCGAAAGTGAATGCGCAGTCATTCTTGTATTATGAAAAGAAGGTGAAAATGATCGAAAGTAATCACACTTTCAATAAAAATGTAAACTTGCTAAATTCACCTTTTGCCTTAGTGACCCCTGAGGTCAAAAGGTGAAATTTACCGTTTTTGCACTAGGAAGATTTAAAGCAATAAAATGGCAACGTAAAATATAAAAATTAAAGCGAAACCTGTTCTAAATAATAATAGGAACATTTAAAATTTATCTTTAGGTGGTCCTAGCACCGAACTTTTACTTTGGAACGTCGAAAATGATCTTGCATAACAGAACCAACACACTTTGAAACCTGTTTCAAAAATACGTAAAAACTGTCAAATCGAAATCTCTCCGATTCATTTTCACAACGATTGTTATACATAATGATACTAGTTATCTGAAAAACAATTGAATAGTTTCAGTGTTGGGCTCCAGCCTGCAGGCCGCGTGGATTTCCGAGAATCCCAGTCTAGGAAAACCGACGTTAATCTGTGACGGGAAAACACGCATCTGGCGACGAGATTAAAAGTTTGCAAACTTTTTATGAGTTTTTATGAATTTCGCCGGAACATGGACGCAGATAAAACCGACGAATGCATTGTACATAGTAGTTCACAGGATATATTTGTCGTATTGGTAAATGTTAACGGGGAAAATTTTGGCAGGCTTTGTGACGCGGCCTGCAGGCTGGAGTCCAGCCATGGAACTATTTAATTGTTTTTTTCAGACAACTTGTATCATTATGTATAGCATTCGTTGTAAAACTAATTCGGAGAGATTTTGATTTAACAGTTTTTACGTATTTTTAAAACAGGCTCTGAAGCGTTTTGGTTCTGTTATGCAAGATCATTTTCGACGTTCCAAAGTAAAAGTTTGGTGCTAAGACCACCTAAAGATAAATTTTAAATGTTCCTATTATTAATTAGAACAGGTTTCGCTTTAGTTTTTATATTTTACGCCGACATTTATTACTTTAAATCTTCCTAGTGCTAAAACGGAAAATGTGACCTTTTGACCTCTGGGGTCACAAAGAATAAAGGTGAATTTAGCAAGTTTACATTTTTATTGAAAGTGTGATTACTTTCGATCATTTTCAGCTTATTTTCATGATACAAGAATGAACGCGCATTCACTTTCATTGCAAATGAACCCATTTGACCTTTGACCCCGAATATCTCGAAAACGCCCCAAAGGCGGACTGATTACCACTCGGCATCGTATTCTACGCAAAATTTTACTCTAGAAAAGTTGGGTCTGGTTTTGTGCCCATTTGATGGACACCCCCCTCCCCCGCGCTGAGCCTCCAGACTATTATAGTTTAAATCCCGATGCGCCATTTAAGTGTTATAGAATCACCTCAAAAGAAAAACCTAGAATATTGTGGTAGATAAATCTCTAATAAGAATGTCATTCAAGAAATGTATCAATTCCGTTCAGTATTTACAAATGTGGAGCTGGGGGTATGTATACTGAAAATTCATGTGAGATGAAATGATGTTTATTCCTACTTTCATCCCATTTCATTTATTTTTGTTAAATTCTATTATAGATTGTTGGTCACATCCCGCATGGAGGCTTTAATGTGATGTTAAAATGTTCAAAGTTTTTATTTTTATTTTAGGTAGATATTTTATATTTCGTATTACATTTTTAACAGGTTGATTTTAAACATATACTATGCAATAGCTAAATCTGCCTATTGTAGGCCTTTGTTTGGACCTGAAATGTTATCTTTAATTAATTAGACATTTATTGAAAAAACAAGACCATAATCGACTCTCGATGGCATCGAATACTTAAGATTTTAACTAGATTAAAACGGTTCGCCATTTAAAAATTTAATTTAAAAATGGGAAAGCGAGGCTAAGTTCCGATTATACTAGTACCCTGGTTACCACTGTGCACGCATTTTGTCAAAACTACAAACAATGATAACTTGGCTGAGAATGAAGTAATTGGAATGAAATTTTCAATATATTCTTTTTTCATCATCTATTTTTGAATTATTATAGCAATAATGACCAATCTTGATTAAACTCTTAACTAATGTATCTTTAAGTAAGATGCTTTGCATGTGAAGGGGACACAAAAAAAGATAAAAACATAACACAGTTCTTGTATGTAAAAATGTCAATTTACAAAAAACACGGTTTTAGAAGGACCGCACTACACGCAAGCAAAACCGAAAAGACAAATCCGCAAGGAATAAACAACAAATCAAGCGAATAGATCCGCTAGTCAGCTAGATACCGCAACAAAACAGACCGAAAGTGAAGAATAGATTTAAAATGTCACGTGGTGTGCTACTGTTTATGGTTATAAAGACATCACGTGGTGTGCTACTGTTGATTGATGACAGCCACTTTGTGTCAGGCCCGTGGCCAGCGGGGGGCATTGCCCCCTGAACAAATGTTTTGCCCTCGCCCCGAAAAAAGATTTTCCGACCATAGCTCTAAAATACCTACTGTAGACTGTGCCGAGTGTGCCCCCCCCCCCTCTAAAAACTTCACTGCCCCTCCGCAACCAGCAAGCTACATGGTACGGGCCTGCTTTGTGTATGTAATGAATGACAATAATCGTGAATTATTAAAGGAAAGGAGAACAGGTCACGTGATGATTAACCGAGTTTTATTTCGCCCTTATTGATTTTATTGCTTGCAATTAAAATGTAATACAACTACATTATGTAAATAAAGACTGGATAACCTAGTCTTCGATGTCGCACTAGATTAACTTACCAATACGTCATACTAGTAAACCTAGTCTAATATGTCACACTTGATAATCAAGTCTAATACGTCAAACTAGATAACCTAGCCTAATACATTATATATTATTTATGTATACTTGATATAACCTAGTCTAATACGTCACACTGGATAACCTACTGTAGTACGCCATACTGGCTAACCTACTCTAATACCCTAGACCTCGCTCCTTTTCTTACGCGCATGTCGACCAGATAGCTTGCTCTTACACGTCAGACTTAGCTCCCATGGACACACACAATACACTGGCAAATCAAGTTCGAGAAGAAATAATTAATATCTTTTAGTTCTTATTTTTTACCAAAATAATGTATAAAGATTCTCCTCACAAAGTGTACATTCATTCGACAGACAATGTCAGAATAACATCGAGAATGCATTGTCGCTTGACCGATCAAAAACGGTATGTATCTAGTTGGGTCTATCAAAAGCTGGATGATGTGTCAGGGCTTTAACTGAACAGATTACTGATCAGTTATGCCGCCTGGTGTGCGTGGGCCTTTAGGAAACGAATACAAAGATTTTTTAGCAATTTATTTCTACAGGGGTCCTACAAATTTTACGTAGGTGTGTGGACACTAAATGGGCAATGATAACGGTATGAGCACTATGGTAGTAGGCTGACATGTGCGGGACTTTAGACAAAATAATGATACACCTTCATTGACCTTTCTGTAGTTTTAGTAACATGGCGATGATTGGTTGCGGTTTTTGATCGTCGTTGTAAACACGGCGATGGTTGGCTGTTATATGATTTGTAGTCTCTATCATCCAGAAAAATATTTCAACGGAGGTAACTAGTCCTAAACAAGATGTCAACGGCCATGAAATTAATTTAAGGATACATTTGATGGCATTGCCAGTTCAATATCCAAACTCCTTATTTTTTTTATTGTAAAATTTCTCTCTTCGTGGGCATATTTATGTTTTTTAATTAATCCCATTCGTCGTCAAGATTTATGCTTGTTTATAATAATGCAAGAATTATGGGATTTATTGCGGGAAGGGGTACAACTCTTACTGGACTTGACCAAAGATACTGGATAATCAACCATATAAAAAAAACCAAACGGTTACGCATGACAACGTTCCAATCCTTGCGTTGAAGACTACGAGGTTCTGGGTGACCGAGACTATATGATTTGTCGTAGTAAATATTAAAAAGGAATCATATATTAGGGTGACCCGTACAGTCAAAATTTTCCCTATAGAAAGTTGGACTCGACACGGCAAATGTGCACGAGTGGCTTGTCTCGAAGTGATTTTTGGCTAACCACGCAGTATGATAATAATCAGCGCTAGAGTCTATGAGACTATAAATAGCCATCGCACGTGCAATTCTCTACACATCTATCAACTATTACAGCCGTAAAAAATCTATTGTTGACCATTCTGAATAGCAGTAACATTTAGTTTTTTGGTTGTTACAGCAGCTTTAGAAATTACGTTGGTTTTAATTTTTTAAATTGTTTTATTATTAACTGTACCGTTAGGAACGTCATTTTTTGGTTTAGTACAAAAAATATTTCTGAAACACTCGGGTTAGGCAAGAACATGATACTAGCAGTAGTTTCATTTTACTTTACAAGGTTCTTAAAACAATTGTTGAGTTGCCTAACGTGCGTGTTTCTAAATTCAATTTCTTGTTCCAGCTTTCTGTTATGTTTCGTAAAAAAAAGTAGTCTTGGTTATCCCGGCCTGTCAATCAGACGTAGAATGGTCGGTAGGCTGGTTAAGCGAGACTAATTTCAAAACAAGGGTACGTAACCTATTTTTTACTCACAAGTGTCCGGGTGTTTTGGCCGACACTCGTAACCATCTTTCAGTGTATTATTTATGGATGGTTAAATGGTCATAGCTTATTAAGTACAACATGACCTTTTATTTAGTGACTATAAATGTGCGAAACTGATTTAAGGATTGGTATATATATAAATATTGTGGTTTAATTGTCGCGATATTTGGAGATATTTTTTTATGGTGGGCCACCATAATATTGTATACATAAACTTGTTTATGATTGTCGTAAATACGCATGGTAACAGGATTGATCGACACGTGTAAATATTATTACATACAATATATCGACATTTACGACGAACAGTTGTTTGAGTAAATCTTGAACACTGAATATATGCCTTTTTACCACGAGAGATAGAGATAGAGATAGAGATAGAGATAGAGGGGGGGGGGGGCGGGGGAAAGACAGAGAGAGTGGGTAATGTCATTGCATGATGAGTAAAGAACCCGAGAGGACACAAAGTCCTAAATGCTTATGTTGTAAGTGGTGATTTCTGCGAGAAATTTCAGCTCACGACATAAGTTTGATACAGGTTGAACAATATGATTTTGAAATAATTTGTCAATAGCGCCGAAAACCGCATTATTTTTTTTTCCATTTGAGAGGGATCACAAAAATTGTAATCCATGAAGGAAAATACGTTATCCCCCCCCCCCCCCACACACCTTCCTTTAGCCCGTGAGACATGCATAAGTAAACATTTTACGAAGACTTTACTATCAGAACTTTCGCCGATAGACGAGAAGGATTTTGAAATAGCTTGTAGCTTGAAATCTGTCGACAATAAACGAGGGCGCCTTCAAAATAGAAAAATAGGTTCAAATGTCTCGACGATTAACGAGGGCGACTTTAAAAAAGGAACCCAGCTTCAAATCTGTCGACGATAAACTAGCGGGATATTAAAATAGGAAAATAGCTTGAAATCTGTCAACGAGGGAAGTCGGTGGGAGAAGGGGCGGGGTGGTAGAGAAGAAAACAAAAATATTGTTCTTAGACGTTTTACGACGACCTCTGTCGCTCTCTGACACTCTTCACGCCATTTTTATGGTCGAAGTTGTTTCCGGATCTAACCCAATCGTGAGTTTTCAAAACAAGAAGTTTGTCGTCAACACAATAAAATCATCCCCATTCCCTACTTCTTCCCGGGATAATATCTAACGATGTATCAACCTAAAGGAGCTAAATCTCTATTCTTTGGCACCTAGAAATGAACACAAGTTGGTGGCAACCATATAATAATGCATTATGAATGTATATAGATTAATTTACATTCAGTCGTTTTTGTTTTTACTGTAATTTCAAATCAGTTATGTTCGGCGAAATATGCAAAGAGTGCAAATTGAATAGCAGACTTTGGCGTCTGGTTGATCAAGTCTAGACCGGTAGTATTCTCCTTTGGGTATGTCCAGTCTCGTTCATCGAGTCGCTTCATTACAAATGGCACTCGAAAGCTTACTGACACGGGATTCGTGTGTCAATTTTAAAATTTTCATTTTGTCTTAAATTTTGTCACAAAAACCGATGTCGTTTAACTGTCTAAATGTAAATAAATATGTAAGTGTAAATGTAAAGTTGCGAAACCTCTCTATTGCGTTAGTGACTTGCCTCCTTTAAGAGGTGGGGGTTGGATGTCCGAATGGTTAGCCAGTGCGCGTTGTATCATAAGGTCTGTTATTGAGTCAACTGGCGTGGTTTTGATTCCCCGGTTGTATGTGACAAGGAGTAGGGTCGCCCGTCCAACTTCATGGGTTTTCTCCGGGTCCTCCGGTTTCCTCCTACTGCTAAAGACCCCTATGCACAAGAGAATTATTCAAATAAAATTGAACCATATGTTAGTGCTGAAATGACCTAGTTGGTGAGTTAAACATTACTGTGAATTGTCATCAGTTATGTTCGGCGAAATACGCGAGAAGTCTCAGCCGCATGTCAGTTTCTAGCGTCTGGTTATTCCAGTCAACACCTATAATATTTATTGCGCATGCTCTCCAAATAAGAATATTATATCACCGTTTGACATGACTTGTGGAATATGTCTAGCCTCTTTCTTTGAGCACCTTGTTTCAAATGGCGCTGAAACGCATTATGGTACACGATTTTCCAGGTAAGATCACAACACCAATGCTGATTTAAATTGCAAAAAAAAATCGTGTTTTCAATGTCGAAGATTTTGGATGATATTGCATAATATTGAGTTACGGACTTAGCTACTTTAAATAAAACCCTGCAATATTGAAAGCTTTTAAAGATGGGTTCCCAGAAAAGTATTTATCGGGTGGTTATTTCCAATAAAAGTATGGTAATTTTGGTATATATGGAAAGTAGAGATATCCAATCTTACTAGAAAAATACTGGATTCCCCGAAAAACACTCATGGAGCGTATACAGGACAAAAATGTAAGGGTTCCCCTAATCAACAGCCCGACGATTAGAAATTTCTGCACGCGTGATGTCAAAGGGCACATGCGAACATTGAGCGCTTGATGTACAAGTTGATAAACTTTATGAAGAGTTAGACGTACAACACTTTCTGAGATAAAAATGACGGAAAAAGACGCGGGTTGTGGATAATCCGAGAATTTAATTAGGATTCGAAATTTGTAATAAATAGTAAGCGATTAAAGACAACATCGTCTTATGTATGCAACGAATTCTCCTCTGACTTCCAAGAGAGGTAATTCAAGTGACGTAAACATGACCTGGTTTGATCGAATTTTTATAGCAGGACATTCCTTCGCAATTACAGTGTTTGAGAAGGATTTGAAGCAAAGCTATGACAAATTAATTAGTTCGAATATGTTTTTAGTCCATATATACCATTAAATCATCCAGTTTGTACGCGGGAACCCATCTTTAATAAAGACACTTAACGGTATGTAGATACAAACAATTGGTGATGCTCTAAACAATGGTTTGTCATCCCCAGACATACGTATCCGTTCATGCATAGAATAATAGCAAAACATCAAAGCAACCGAGCATGGGGTAAAACGATCTAACAGGAGGTAAACAAAAGATGTTCTTACCATTTTGAAGAAAACGTTGAAAATTTTTAGCCACAAAAAATACAAAAATCATAACAATTAGGAGACGTTGTTGATGTAATGGTCAACTAAAGCTCATAGTGAAATATGAAAATCTCTCCTTATTTATGCATACTCTTTTTTTTATTTTGATGCGTTTCTATGGTAACTATTATTGATTGGCACTGGCATGACTCTTAAGACCACTAATATATTAATGAGCGCATGCATAGGCGGTAGTAGTGTACCGGACAATATGATGGGTTGGTTATCTGGTTGTCAATGGTTTCCACAAGGCTGTTGATAAATATAACACGTGTTCACACAAACAAACGATATTGTTATAAATAGTTTATATTAATGATACTATCACTATCTACGAGGAGATAATAACATTATTAATGCATTCACTTGTCCAGACCTCTGGGACCATTAAAATAAGAGAGAATATGTTTCAATTTAAGTCAGAAATTCACGGGAGAGGGTGGGGGTGGGTGGTGCTCAGTGAGTAAGACGTTTGCTCGCTACAGAAGAGGTCCATGGTTTATTCCCAGTTTTGGCCGAGACGATACTTCCAGATTTTCCAATGTTTCACTTGTCAGTTGTGCAGGACATGACAAGGAACAATGTCTAGTAGTTCGAACAGGACGACGACAAGGGTATACCGTGTACATGTTGGCGTTGTCGTTAGAAAAACCTTGACAAATTTCACCCCAAAGCACGTCACATGGCGCATGTCCAGTTGTTGAATAAAAGTAGGAAGTAAAACCCATTCCCATTTCAAGACAGGTTTCAAAGAAACACCATTCCGCGGCAGGTCGTAAAGGTAGAAACACCAACCCTCAGCCTATCGTAAAGGTAGAAACACCATCCCGCGGTAGGTCGTAAAGGTAGAAACGCCACCCCGAAGCCGATCGTAAAGGTAGAAACACCATCCCGCGGCAGGTCGTAAAGGTAGAAACGCCACCCCGCGGTAGGTCGTAACGGTAGTAACACCATTCCAGGGCCGGTCGTAAAGGTAGAAACACCATCTCTCGGCCGGTTGTAAAGGTAGAAACACCATCCCGCGGCCGGTTGTAAAGGTAGAAACACCATCGCGCGGTCGATCGTAAAGGTAAAAACAACAACCCGCGGCCGGTCGTAAAGGTAGAAACACCATCCCGCGGTCGGTTTTAAGGGTAGAAACACCATCCCGTGGTCGGTCGTAAAGGTAGAAACACCATCACACGGCAGATCATAAAGGTAAAAACACCGTCCCGTGGTCGTGTGTAAAGGTAGAAACACCATCCCGCGGCCGGTCGTAAATGGAGGAAAACTATCCCGCGGCTGGTCGTAAAGGCAGGAACCCCCCCCCCCCGCGGCCGGTCGTAAAGGTAGGAACACCATCTCACGGCCGGTTGTAAAGGTAGAAACACCATCCCGCGGCCGGTTGTAAAGGTAGAAACACCATCGCGCGGTCGATCGTAAAAGTAAAAACAACAACCCGCGGCCGGTCGTAAAGGTAGAAACAGCATCCCGCGGTCGGTTTTAAGGGTAGAAACACCATCCCGTGGTCGGTCGTAAAGGTAGAAACACCATCACACGGCAGATCATAAAGGTAAAAACACCGTCCCGTGGTCGTGTGTAAAGGTAGAAACACCATCCCGCGGCCGTTCGTAAATGGAGGAAAACTATCCCGCGGCTGGTCGTCAAGGCAGGACCCCCCCCCCCCCCCCGCGGCCGGTCGTAAAGGTAGGAACACCATCTCACGGCCGGTTGTAAAGGGTTGAAGTTTAGCGTCTCCCCAAAACAATTAAAAATTCATTTTGGATGTCTATTTTATTTTATTCTATGGCCATGTGTGCAAAGCAAAGGACCATAATGATGAGAGTGTTTAACGACCACTCGACACAAACTAGGTCATTTCGTGATTAACATATGGTTTAATCCTATTTCAATAGTTTGTTGAGAAAACCCACGAGGTGGACAGGTGACCCTACTCCTTGTCACGTTCAACCGGATATCGAAACCACGCCACTAGTAGTGGGAGACTGGAGACAAAAACGGATAACTGGATAGATAGAGTTTAACGTCGAGTTGTCCACTCAAGTAGGGTTCTTTAGCAGTGGGAGGAAACCGTAGATAACCTAGAGAAATCCCACGGTGTTGGACAGGCAATCCTACTCCTTGTCAAGTACAAGGATCAAAACCACGCCATTTGTAAGAATAGATTAAACAATGCGTGGTAATTCACGGGATTGCAATTAAATATCGGTGATTATTGATGATAAGCGGAATCACACTAGATTAGAAAAAAGAAAAAAAAAACATCATTTAGAGGTGAACGACATAAAAGAACCAAATCATACTGAGTTAAGATCAGAAGATAAACCTTCTGAAAAAAAAGAACTAGAACTCAAAAGTAGTACTGACGTGTTTTGGTACTTCAGGTCACGCCTTGTCACATTAACAATTAAGTTAAACTTGTATTATTGAGTACAGTAAGAATCAAATGTCAAGGGTCATTGTAAGGCTCGGTCATCAGATAGAAGGAGAGATAGAGAAAAATGGGGTTTAACGTCATTTAGGTCATTTCGGGACTAACATATGGTTCATTTTTTTTCGCTTGCGCGTAGAGGTCTTTAGCAGTGGGAGGAAACCGGAGGGCCAGGAGAAAACCCACGAGGTTGTACAGGCGACCCTACTCCTTGTCACGTACAACCGGGGATTCGAAACCACGCCAGTTGACTCAATGACAGACATTATGATACAGCGTGCACGTGCTAACCATTCAGCCATCCAACCCCCCTTCAGATAGAAGGTCAAAAGTCGAACAAAATCCAAACTGAAGCCGGAGGTAAACAAAATCGAAATTCAAAATTCGGCTCACTAAGAATTGTTGCCATTTGGAGTAGGTTCAAAACATTTTTTTTTTATCGAAAATCGGAAATAAAATGGCGGCTGAATATCGATTTGAAGATTTTTTGTAAAATCCAATATGGCGACCGAATGGTTAAAAATGTTATTGAACAAGGCCTCTGAAAATGAAAGGTAATATCTGGGGCTAACACCACCATATGTCCTTTTTTGGTATGTGTTTAAAATGGAGAGAACTATCCAGGTTCGAGAAAAATCGGTAGGACTCGGTAATTTCCGGACGTTTCCGAAAGCCTGTCACAAAATTTTTGAATATGCCATTTTGAAGGCATCGGTCTGTTCCTTATTCCTACCAAGTTTCAACCTGATACCAAAAATAGTGATGGAGATACGCCATATTCTTGAATCGAGCGAACTTCTGAATTTCGAAAAACCGTCAGCAAGAGCCCATATGGGGTTCGGCCAAAAAATCCAAAAATGAAAACCCGGAGAAGATCCGTTGAGAAATATCCGAAATATAGACAATCTGAGATTATTTTTTGTCCCATCCGTAAAACACTTCCTGTTTGTCAAAAATAGCCCAATTTATATTCAATAAATGGATCCACGGAGGCCAACCACGTCTACGCTGGCAGAGTGTTTGCACCCTGCACATTTTTGGCGGCAAACTCTGACAAAATTCCCCATAAAAATAAAAACACTAACGAAAACAATACGTAATAATAATTAGCGGTTAATTCACGATTTGTATTGGCGGGTGTTTTAGGTGGGTTGCAGTCATGGAGGTGTATATATTGACAATATATACACCTCTATGATCGTAGTAGCAACGGCTACATGTAGGTTCTTTAACGATTACCATGTTACATTGTTCTACTTGTCTTAATCTTCTTCGTGGAGGCGGGTCGCGGATTCGATCCCGGTGTTGACCCGGATTTGTCGGCGTGGTTTTCCTTTGTCATGCCTTTCAGGAGCATCAACAATAATCTGCTCCAGTCTACGTCCAACCCCATGTAGTCCGGTGGCTGAAGGGGGGGGGGGGAATCGCCACCCGAGCTGTGAATTTATGAGACCAAGTTTTTCTAGACCAGTTTTTTGCGTAGATTCCGAATCTGGGTGGTGATCAGGCGTTTGAGGGGGCGTTTTCGAAATATGGAGAGTCCGATGTCTACAATTGGGGGAAATGTCATTATGTTGATATAAATGATGATCATTTTATATATTACTAAAACATAAATTTCTAAAGGACTGTCCATCGCTAAAGAAGTGTATATTATGCCCCCCCCCCCCCCGGTCAACTGTTTTGATTTGTGGGGAGGTGGGGTGGGGGAAGCAGGTGTGCGTGTATGGGGGGGGGGGGTAGCGGGAAATGAGTTCACGTTGATTTAAATGATGATTTTCTTAGAGCTTGGTAAAAACATTACTTTTTAATTTCGCTGCACATCTATAAATATGTGTGTAAGATTCCCATTGTATGGGGCGGGGCGGGGAGGTGAGGTTTGGGGGACAAAATGTAATTTTGGGGACAGAAACTATTCGGTTCAAAATTGGCCTGAAAAGTGTTTTCTTGTTAGCTTTTTCGTTCAATCTGATTAAAACACACAGATGCTATTTCGTTTCGTTTTTTATAGTTCAAAATTTCGTTTTCCTTGTCTTCACAACACTAGGATCTGGAAGAGTTGTTATATAACAGGCGGTCTAGTTGATGTGAGGGAATTAGCCAATAAAACGGTCTGTTACGACGAGTTCTTGGCGTGCTCTGCACTGAACTGTGGGGTAAACCCCTGGAAACGTCAACGCTGATTTGATTAATCAAAGTCTGACGTCATAGTGTCAAAATCCGCTCGTATAACCCATGCAGTGTAGGCCATCGAAAGTATAAAAACAAGAAACGAAATATACATCTGTATTTTTAATCAGATTGCTTTTTCGTTCAGTACCAATTTCGTCATTCCAAATAATAATATTAAATTATAATGGTACTTTTCAAGTATCTGGAAATGTCCATAAAATACACAGTAAATTAGATTTTGATTTTGAATCTTCTGGTGAAGATTAAGAATAAACTAATATCTAAACATCTAAACATTTTTATGTACATTTCCAGATCTCTTGAAAAGTACCATTATAATTTAATATATTGAATTACGAAATAGGTAATGAATGGAAAAGCTAACGAGAAACCACTTTAAGGTCAATTTTGAACCCAAATGATTTCTGTCCACAAAAACACATGTTACCCCCACCCCCTCTCCATAA